TTTTATGTTATTGTTCTTTTTATACATATTTTTTCATATGCATACCCACATATATGTATTATAAAAAATATATTTTTACTAATGTCCTTTTATTGATTTCGTTCAAAAACAAATTGCCTTACCTGTTTACCGTTAGATGTTGACTAAAACACTTTGATTTTCGTTTGATTATTTGATTTCTAGCGGCTTTATGCCGTTTTACGCTACATTTTATTTGATTCGTGTTAAGGCCTTCCTTATTTATAAAATGTTTACTGATAAGACATTCATTTCATATTTCTTAATTTTAGGTTTTACACAAAAACATATGAATTAAAGTTAATTGCATACATTTGCTTGTACGTACGTATGTTTTCGCGTTCGAAGTCAACGAATTTTTCGTTTTTGTTTTTTTACTTTAAATCGTGTGCTTAAATGCCAAGCAAAATCCTTAGGAGAAAACTATTGAATTAACAAAAACAAAAACAAAAAAWCTTAATTGAAAAAATAAACATTCAACTATTGTGGTAAATAATAGCTGTGAAATGCAAAGCGACATCACAAATGAATCAAAAATTAGACAAAAAGCAAGAARAAAATTACATTTATTTTAAAATAATATTTATTACTCAGTTAACTATTTTGTTTGAAATGCAACCCAAATGTTTGAGGAGTTCAACTTTATCTATTGCCTGCTGTACATTTGTTATTATTATTATTTTTTATTTTTTTGTTTTTCTYTTGTTTCGTAATAAAACAAACGGTGAACTATATTTTTAAAAACTATTTAACAAATTAAAGTAAACAAATTGTACATATGTACTATATGTATTTTAACTGTAAACAATTATTGCTGCTCTACATTGTACACATGTCTGTATGTATGTATGTAAACCTTTGTGAGTACAACTATTTTCTTTAAGTTATAAGTAATCGTATTTAGCAATGTTTTTTTATTTACCGTTACTTTTATAATTAACTATTGTATTGTATTTTGGGCGGCGTTGTAAGGATTTCAAATGAAATAAATAAAATTACATAATTACATTAGCATATACAACTGTATTTTATATATATTTATGTATGTATATTTTTTTGTTGAAAATTTACAGTATTTAAAACTTAAATTAGGTTTAAAAAACGCAATTAATCATTAATATTTTTTTTGTTTTGTGTTTTAAACTAAAACATTTTGGCACTGTAAAGAAAAGTAATTACATAAACTATAAAGAAATTAGTTATTCAAAATTTTACATGTCCATAACGGTGAATGTGAATGTGACGCGCTTTAAAGTGGCATTTGCAGTGGTTTGGTGGCTCTTTTGAGTGTATGTAGACGTGTTATAAGCATTAAGAGGCAGCGGTGGCTCGCCAAAATTAAAAACACAAAAAAAAAATCAGAAAGTAGTTTAGTTGAAGCACAACAGTAATAACAGTGAAAAAAAATAAATAAATACATAAAAGTCTTTTAAAGACTATCGCAACAAATAATTTTTACCAAGAAC